AGCTTTAAAACAAGTACACAGTGCAAATTTGCAAATGTCAATCAGGTTCACCGTTCTGATCATAGAACATAAGACAGAAAATGCCACATAAAAATTCTCCTGCGTTCAGACACCAACTGGTATGAGTTGTTTTCGAAGCTAGTAGATTTCAAGAGCGCTTGCAAGTCTTGAATAAGTACCTAAATCCTTCAGGCTGTTTAAATAGAATTAAGAACTTAAATTGTTTGTTCCAGCGTTTAAATAATTACAACTCACAAGTCCATTGGATTTCACCAAACCCTGACTCTTTCCGAGGATTCTTATCCAAAGTGGTACCCATCAGTAACCCCGATAGTATTTGAAGCATAGTTTTGTGCACCATGACTGCACTGTAACGCTCTGCTACATAGTTCACAAATAACATGGCATATCACTATGACGTGGGTTTCTCGATAAGGCCGATTCCTATCTGCTAGTAAAATCAACGATAGTATTTATTAGAAGGTATGAAAACTAAGATGGCGCGGCCTTTTGTGTGGTCGCAGTCTCCTTTCGTTGTATAGAGGTTGTTTGACCTTGTTTTCGCAGCTCGGTCATATTGGTATTAAGACTTAGAAGAACGCACCTAGTTCGGAGTCCATTGTATGTATCATTAATTCCAGATTAGGACCGTGGACGGGGTACATTCCCAGACGTTTCGCCGGCATCGTATTCGGCATCGTCAGTGAATCTCGTCATTCATGGCACTGCACAACAACTCGTCAAAAGAGACAAGGGAAGCTGATCCTTTGACCAAACGTGTGCTAAACAGTTGTCGTATCTCCCCTTCTGCCATGGACTGTTCACATTTCCTATATCCTCCTATCACGCCTTCACTGTTACCATTTTTACCGTGCTTATTTCGATGTAGTATTTTATTGTCAATGAGAATCTTATTTACGACTATCCATAATATCTTATTGCAAATTCCAGTCAATCTAAGTGACTGATAGCTGAAGTTTCCAAAAATAAACTAAATTGGTTCAACAATGTCATTAATTTGTATCCAACCTTGTATTGAGCAACATTTGGAGAAGCGAAAAGAATGATTAATTTGCCATCCAGCAACTTATATACTTTTCGTATGTAGATGGAGTTTGTCCCTTTGAAGTTAACTGTTCCTAAGCAGGCGTGACGGCAGCTGACCTGGAGCGAAGGGCTTTATAAAAGTGTCCGATGAAATATGATGGCCCGCATCGCACTATCGGCTAGTCATCGTAGCGGCCAGCCGTAGCATAACGTCATTTTCAGCTTCATCTTCATAAAGTACAAAATGTAGGAGTCCAAATGTTAGGAACAGGGTCCCTGCATCACAACTAGTTACGAAGCCCCGCTAGGGGATTTTTGAACGTGTATTAAGAATCGCTTCTACTCGACAATACCTCAGCAACACTAAAACGAATCAGATCGCATGCTGTACCTTAATTAATAGTGTAAATTCAGTTTCACCTTGACAATTGAGCTGGTGCTCTCGGTGCTTGTCCTAAACTTCAATAGGCCAAGTGAGATGAATTTCCTATTTTCTCAATACATAGAAGGCTTAATGCTCTGATTTATCTCATCATTTTGCAAAAATCATCATTGTGATGAAGGCCACTTTTTTCCCATACTTTCTATTGTCGCCATGGCTCTTGGAGGAATTCTAGCAAAATAATAATGGGAGTCCGCTTCAGTGATAGAAAAATTCAAAGATGCAAAATCGTGTATTTTTTGTTGTCTAGCACTTTGTATGCCGAGGGTGTATGTTAGAGTTGGAAAAACAGTTGTCACTGTTCAGCATCTCTGGCAGTGTTGACGACAAGAACAGGGTAAAAGGAAGTGAGATAAGCGGACCGGAAGGGGTTTTTGTGCTCTGCCTGAGGAGACTTGTTGCCTAAATATGGATGGTCGAAAGTGGGCCTTGAGTGGCAGGGAACCTTGTGCGTCGTTGTGTGTAAGTGAAACAAATAGATCCACGTATAGAGGATGGCGAACATGATGGACTTTTTGAGATTTCTAAGCATAAGGCTGAGCAAAAACGGTAGCCTCTGATACAGATTGAAAAGTAAAGAAGGCATTTTCATTACTAACTCTTACGGGTTCTAAAATGTAAATGACTCACAGAACTTTAGGCACCAGGGTTGTTTAATGTAATGGAAGGCGTGCTAGTTGAGGTGGTACGATAAAAAATGCCTTACAAAAATAGTTTATCATCTGAGATGGACTGCTGTCTGGTGGAATGAAAAGCTGACACTTCGAATCCCGTTCTTAGTGCTGAATGGATTCAGTTATAAGATGTATTCACCCAATTTCGTTTAAGACGATGAAGGAATGGTAGAAGTAGAATTTTCCCACAAATGATATGAGTTGAGCTGACGTTTTCATTCAATTTTTACATAGCTTTGCTTTCCCGCTGAGGGTGTTGATAAGACCAATGCAAGGTCGAAACTGCAGTCCACCATGGATGAGAACAACTTTTGGGAAAGCAAAGCTATGTAAAAATGCAATGGAAAGGTCAGCTCAACTCATATCATTTGTGGGAAAATTTTACTTCTATCATCACCTTAAACGAAATTGGGTGAATACATCTTATAACTGATTTACTGATAGTCACGAGAAACAATACTGAATTCGAAAAATGAATGGATTCAGACCAAGTTATGAGTGAGGCACATCTTGGATTAGCGAGGCCTTGGAAAGGCACGATTAAATAATGCCCAAAATCATCATAAGAACTTCTGTCTAATTCATTGTGGAAAGTTGCATCGCTTTAAGAGGTTTGAGGCGATGGAAGTTCTAATAAAGGATCACTGTGAAACACATGTAAACGTCGCTTTATACTGTTTAGTATATATTTTTAATGGCATTTGAGTGCAATATCATCAGAGTATGATACTTTTCTATTTAACGCACGGATTGATTCGACTTCGTTCCGAGATCCTCTTCAAGTTGAACAGATTTATGAGGAGATTAAGGTTGCAACAACAACCAGCATTACTGGTAAATGTGCGGAATCCCTTCACTGGAAATTTACGAAGGATGCATTATTCCCAAATTTCTATCACACTCATTATCACCTGAATCTTGTCTCAAAGACCGAATATCTGGTTGATTACTCTACTCCTCTTTACTCGAGAATTTACGTAAATCGGTTACTTGCCTCTTTTTGTGCTGTTCCTCTCGTTTGTGTCAACATCATAGTTGACTAGCCAATCACAGGAGATTGGTGATACTTTATCCTGCTCTTTTGGGCTCGAGTTCGAGTGCAATAATCTGTCCCTTTGTAGCGTCGCGGAGGCTACCACGAATAACTGTTTTGTCCCGTCGTGATCTTGGGGCTTAGTAAATGCGGAAAAATTTGTGTTAGTCGCCGTGCTTGTTTTCGCGGTAGGTATTGTGCCCTCGAAAGGGGTATTGCCGACTGGCACGCCCTTTCCTGTTGTTCTTGTAGAGATCTTTTGCTTCGTGAGGCTGGATATCCAGCCGGAAGTTGTGTTTATCGGTCTGGTAGGTGCCCTACTGGGCGGGACGAATCCCACTGAACGACCAAGAGATGTTGCTTCCGATGGATATCTGGCTTGGGCTCCAGATGCCACTAACAGCTGCCCGTAGTCGGTAGGGTCGGCCAATCGGCCACCTGACAAGCCAGTAGATGGTTGAGCAAAGAGTGTAGATCCCGTCGAGGGTCCGTTGATAGGCAAGTTGACTAGCATCGCCCTCTGGGATCCAGCTTCACAGTAACCGGTCCCAATTTCATCTTGCCTGTGAACCATCAATCCTATGGAAAAAGGAAGTCATTGACAGATTATCCCCATCTACACGGAGACCATTAAGCAAGTAAACTGTATTCACCACTTTGCGTAAGCAATTTTGTATATACCGAAGCGAAATTAATGACCCCAACTTCCCAGCACACAAAATAAGGGTTCCTTTACTTTTATGATGTGAATGGAGGACACGTTTTAGTTGAATTCGTGTATAAACCATCGTTGCTTCTCAGTTAGAAATCACCACTTGCAGTACAGTATTACTGGAAGTTACACTTAATCCACTCGGAGTAGAGGCATGTCATACCCTGATTTTTCCAATGAATTTTACTGTTATATACACAAAGTTTGGGTTGCCATCCTCTATGAACTATGAATTTGAGCTTTCCCAGGTCTAACCAACAGCACAAAGAGTAGACAATCCATGGCTCTCCTGACCATGTACCATTATCATTAGAGCATGCAACTCTAAATACATTGACTTGAAGCTGGAGCAGTGCGTTATTGTCACTTTTCATCTCTTGTTGGGATGTCTCGGCAAATTGTGTATACAAGGGTTAGTGGCAAACGTTTGCTAAAGTATGCAGTCAACTGCCAATAACTGAAATAGACATGATAACACTAGCAGAGGACACAGAACTGTATAAGTACTTCGAGAAATTGGTTTTTATGTATACGAAAGCGA